GATCTTATAAGGGAGCAGATCGTGCTTCCTTGAAAGTATTTGAAGTCACGCATAAGAGACTTCTTTTCTCCTGTCTGTAACACCCAGCACTTCCTCACAATATTCTTGTCTTCAAGAAAACCTCCTTAAGTTGTTACAAAACTTTTTATAACTACAAGATGTCGTGATTATTTATGTATATTGATCAGTTTCTTTAGGACATACTAGTCAGACAGCCATAAGTTCTATATGGTTCGTATAAGAAGTTTCTGGACCACAGTGTGTTTTGAAAGACACATCAGGAGTATAGGAACCTTAATGTAAGACTAATTGGACCCTGTTTTTGGGCACGTCTACAAGGCTCAGGGTTGACCCAGCTGAAGTGACACCTCTGTTCGGGCCCCACTGGAGCACTTACTATTTCCCCAATGCACCGTGTGCTCTCAGGCCTCGATGGTGGCTCAGGCTGGACTCTGCCTGAAGTGTTATCCTGACACTTGTCCCAGTGACATCCCACTTATCTTCCAAGGCCGTATTCTCTCTGACTTCTACTCTTTAGCCTTCCCTGAGACACATTTCTCATGGCACCCTCTTGTCCAAGCGTCTACTCTAGCAGTTGTTACATGGTTTTATAGCTCTTGCGGTTTATTATATCTGTCTGCCTTCAGTAATTTTTTTGAGGACAGTATTTTCATTCTTTTCGATGTGCCTAAAATCAGTACGCTCAGTATCTGTTACTTGAAGGTGCTCAATAAGTATCTGTTGAATGGTCAAATGATTTGATGAATGTTTCATTCTTGAGTATTTGTCTTAATCTGAATTTCTAATAAAGCAGATTCTTCTTGGAAAATCGAGTTAATTCATACTCGATTTTGTCGAGTATGTTGTCTAATATTTTGAGTTTGATAAGTAATGATTTTGTGATTTATTTAAAATAATTATGAATATAGGAGTGTATAGTATTTAGGCAAGAAAAGACTTATTTGGGGTGCTCTTTGGTTTTGAATTCTGTTTTTGTTATGTGGGTTATTTCTTTATTGGCATGATGAACTGTCAAGAGAAAATATCATTTGCTTCGGGCAAGTGGGTTGGTTTAATTTGTCATCTGAGTGTCACTGTAGCCCAGAATTCTAGAAAAACTAAGGGAATTCAAAAGTAAAAAAAATGTAATATGAGGTTCTTTTATTGTTCATGGATTATAGAACAAGTTAGTCAAGATTCCTAACTCTGATAACTTTATTTTTGAAACACTTGTAGCCTTGCCTCTTGTAGAAGAGTTTGCACATTAATCATGATGTTCAGTAAAATGTTATGTGGGTAAAATATTTAGTAAACATCATTTGGTAATCTAAGAAGCAATGATACCATCTCAGCCACTGGTCATAAATTAGACATGTTGGGTTTTCTTGGAATTTATGTAATGTTAGCCAATATGCAGTACTTGCTCTGTGCAAAATAATTCATTTTACAAGGAACTTACTGAGTGCCTACCATGTGCCACAAGTTCTGTGTTACTTAACTCAGGAAACAGAGTGAATGAGAAGCAGCCTTTGCCCTCAGTGAACCTGTAGGCTGTTAGGGAGATTAGATAGCTACGTGTAATGTAGCTGTAATGTAAGTTCTGCAAGATACTGAATCTGGTTGGGAGAAATAGGGAAGACATCTTGGAGCAAGTAGCATTTCATCTGGTTAAGATTTCAATAGACAGATTGTGTTCATTGGACCTTCTCCAATTACAAGAAGCAGAGCTTTGCTGTCTTTCAAGCCCCCTCACTTAATGCGTTTTACTATGAGGTTGCACGGGAAGTAGTAGGAAGGGCAAGAAAGCAGTCCCAGCTGCCACCCAGGTGGGCCTCGTGGAGAACCAGACACTAGCTCTGAGGACATGAGAGCCCCTCTGTTGTGTTACTAGAAGTGAAAATGACTGTTGTTCCCTTCTCCAATGATCTGCACTGTGTTCACTTAACTTTTCTCTGTCTTTGCCTCTGCAGCCAAGGTAGAGTGCATGTGTATCCCTTTTTCATTCCTCAAGAGAGAAAATCTGTCTTGGCTAGTCTCTGTTCAACAAGGAACATGCTCTGCCCAGAGCTCCTGCCAGCCACCTCGTAGGCTTCTTGCCCACAAGTAGGTCCCTGCTTTTCGCCTGGGGACTCATCCCTGGTGTAAGCAGTTGTGGCCAGTGCTGTGGGGTCACATGATACAGAGCAATGCTCTCAGACTTTAACATGGGGACGAAAATGCAGGCTCTGGTTCAGTAGGTCGGGGGTGTGACATGAATTCTTTGTCTCCAACAAGCTCCCAGGTGTTGCCGATGCTGCCGCTTCCCCAACTACACTTTGAGTAGCCAGCGTAGAGTGTGGTGGCCGCTGTGTGAACATAATGACTCAGGAGGCAGGCACTCTGTGTGGGAGGGCTGTGGCTGTGAGATGGCATTTCATGTGGAGGAAGATGCAGTGTTCATGTCTACAATTTTGAATATGGTTACGGTTGGAATGAATAAGGCATCTTCAAACCAAAAAGTCAGTATTTAAACAATTCAGGTGCAGTCTTTGAATAACAAGGTGGTTGGGATTGGTGATTAGTCCTTGTATTATTTTAATCCAAAGCAAGGCAGTAGTTATTTTAATGTTTTCAGTGAGACAGTAAGCAGGCGAGCCTGAATTTAAATTATTTATCTTCACTTGAGAGCTTGCTGCAAAACTCCTTTCATAGTTTGCAACCAAGTCTGTGTTGTCTGTGAGGATCGGCAGTGAAACTTAGTTGTTTATTATGTGAAGTTGGGAGCCAGAGTCCCTGGGAAGGACACCGAGTATTAGATTCCTTATCATTCTTAGGAGAACCTACATTTCTAATTGTCTTCATTAGAGATCCATAGATACGATAGTTCAGCACTTGGTCACAGAGATCCTTGAACCATTATAATGTCTGACATCCTTTGAGTTAATCCCAGTTTCAAAGCCCCCATTACAGTCATTCTTCTACTATTCATTTCATAAGTATAATCTAAGACTGACTGATTAAAAACCAAAGAGGTTTGTTTTTTTTTAATTTAACAATGCTAGAGTTCAGTAATTTAGAATTATGTATAATGTCTAATAGAAGAGAACTGAATTAAATATTCCAGCCCTTCTGACGTAGTGGCAGAAGCAGGAGGAAAAGTGAGTCTTTTCGACTTCCTCGTTTCATTCATTACATTCAAAAATTACATTCACGTAGGCCCTCATGTAATATTCACATGTATTCTTCATTGTTTTAAGTGATCTTTTTACATTGTTTTATTATCTGGAGTTTACCCATTTCGACTCATTCTTCTTACTTTAAAAATAACTTATTTTAACTTTAATGATCAGAAAAGGCAAAAATGGCTATTTTAAATGACTAAATAGTATCATCCTTTAAAAAAAAAAAACAGGGGGTCTCCTAATTTATGGGAGTAAAATCTTGAAAGGGATTTTCAAAATTCACCTTAGTTGATAATCATATAGAATTCTGATTTACTGAATAGATTAACCACATGACCTTCTTTGACTTTTACACTTTGGTTTTCAGTCATCAAAGCAAGAATGCTGTTTAGTATGAGGAATTGTTTTGGCACAATGAAAACAATGCTGGCCTTGAAGTCAGACAACTTTACTTGCTATGTTTCTTTGGGCAAGTTATTTAATCTCTGTGAGCATTAGTTTCCTCATCTGTAAACTTATGATGTTCATATCGACTTTACAGCATTATTTTGTTGATAAAGATAAATTATGCATGTTATACAGCAGTATAAACATTACCATATAACAGCATTTTAATAAATAAACATGAAGATTTTTAGAATTTTATGACAAAATACTATTTTGTTTTGCTATAAAGTAAAAGAGAAAGTATTTTTGTTACTCATATTTGCCTAGGAATAACATTATCTATCCTTGACATAGATGAATACTGCCGTGCTTTGAGGTATAAACATAAGAGCTGATTGTAATTGCCACTCAGTTAATCTATAGATTGGAACCACCATTGTCAAAAAAGTGGTTTTCCAAAAAAGAAAGTAGTGATATTGTATACAGTTTACCAAAAGAAATTCTAACTAATCTTCAAAGTGTAGTCAGTAAATTCAGTCATGCTCAGTGAAGTAATTTGCAGGAGCACAGAGAATAGTCAGTTGTTTATAGTGAGACATTTTATTAATTCACTTTAATCAAACAGAACTGGGAAAGTCAAGTTATGCTCATATGTTTGTAGAGAGTGAGGACCGGAAATATGGTGAGAGAATGGGATGCTGCACTGTTATTCAAAATACAGGAAGTCAGATAAAGTGTCTTTCATGTCAAGTGGAAGACAGATATTTTCAAAACATACACATGCATTTTTCACATACACCTCCACATAGTGAACATACGAAGACATCTTCTGATGGTTTCCTAGGTACAGGCCGCAGGACCACCATACGTATATATTTCTAATAAGATCCTTTATATTATTTTTATAATTAACCTCCCTTAGATTAATAGCAAACCATGGATATCCATTATCACAGCAAATGCTGGTATAGTAGTTTATTTGCCAGTGCATTTTTCATTTGATGAAGCATCTGTGGAGCTTTGATTTTATAAAAGTGAATGAAGCCATTGGTAAGAAGAGCGATGGAAATGCCTGGAAAATTGGTTCAAGGGACAGGCGAGTTCAAGGGCAGAAGGCTGAGTGTGGATCTGGGGCATTGTGAGCCTTCAGATTTTACTCTGTGCTTCAATCTAGGGGGTTTTCCTAAGGCCAAATTGATTTCCAGAATATCCGAAGGGTTTAATTCTAGTGTGGTCTACAAACAGTCAAATCACCCATGCCAAAGCAATTCTTTCCTCCTTTAATAACAGAACAGTCATATCTTATTCTAGTTTCAGTTTTGTATAGGGGGAGGTATTTTAAATTTGGACCAATTATAGCCTTTTAGCTAATTTCCCTAAGCATCACCATTCTTATCTTTTTAGACAATTTAATATACCTACTAGTACTTAATATTACTTTTCCTTATGCAGATCCAGTGCCCCACTTGCCAATTCGTCTGGTGTTTTAAGTGCCACTCTCCTTGGCATGAAGGTGTTAACTGCAAGGAGTACAAAAAAGGAGACAAATTATTGCGTCACTGGGCCAGCGAAATTGAGCATGGGCAGAGGAACGCCCAGAAGTGTCCGAAGTGCAAGGTGAGACAAACTTCGGGAGGGAAGGAAACAAACACGTGCATCTGGCTATCACTGAACGATACTATTTACAATATTGAAGTGAAGTCTCTGTATAACTTTCTTAATGCAGAGGTGGAGAAAAAGAATATTTGCTGTTTCATTTTAGAAGAGTAATTATATTACATAACTAAAATGAAGATTTTTATATATAAACAATGTGTATTCTTACATTACATTTCAGAATTTAAGGAGGCTACGTATAAATATGGATCTTAAACTTCAAAATTCTAATTTTCCATTTAAAAATGGAGATGTGTGTACAGGAAGAAGCTCATATGAAAATGATATAAAATATTATTTCTAGTTTGCCAACATGTACTATAATCACTTCTCAATTAGGTAGGCTCTGAATCCTTGTAATCCTTTGGGATTTTTCCCCTCTGCCATTGCTTATCACTTTAGGATTACATTAAACTGGTCATTTCCCTTTTTGTAAATCTGGTGACGTAGAAGCTAAGAGCTAAAATCAGGACTTTATGAATCCCATTTTACTTTCATGCAAGTAATCAAGAGTTAGCAAGCATTTGAGCAGAGACCTAGATGTTGAAAGTCAACCATGCAGACAGCCAGGGAACGATCTCCTATAGACAAATCAGCACGTAAATCCAGCCAGAAAACTTTGGATTTGACTCTTACAGGATAGGGGTCTGTTGAAGTTTGAAGTTTTTTTTTTTTTTAAAGCTCACTTTAGAAAATTATATGTATGTAAATGCATATGTACACTCCACCATGTGTGGTTTCCATTTTGTGCCAAATTTATTTTTGATAATCTTGTCTAAACCAGGCCTAATTTTCTTTCAAGAATAATTTTGCAATTCCTTCCAGGATGCTTAGCACCAAGATAAATGAAATTTGAATTATCAGGAAAATTTTTTAAATTAATCATGTGAATGAAGCTTGAAGTAGTAGAAGTATATTCTGAAGCCTATAAATGAGAATAAATATAATGCACAGATTCACTACACCAAATTCACATACTAGTTTATATGTATAGTAAGTAAAGCATTGCCTGAAATAACATGTTATGTTCTTAGCAATTGGAACATGTTATGTTCCTAGCAATTGGAAGAAATTTTTGAAATAGTTTGGATGGCCTGGCTGTCTTAAAAGTGACGTCTACAGATGTTTGAGTTAAAGCTTTCTTTGTTTTCCGTGTAGAAGGCAAATTCATTTACAATTATCCCTTTGATTTTTTTTTAAACATCTTTATTGGAGTATAATTGCTTTACAGTGGTGTTTTAGTAAGGCTGCTTCAGATCACTGCATCAGTTGCTCCGTAGATGTTTATTTTTTACGTAAGATGAGGCCTTTCCCCCTTTCTGTTGCCTTTCCAGTTTACTCAGAGGTACTGCTCAGTTTCAAACTAAATAAAGGCCAGTAGGAATTCAAGAGCGCTGTTTAAGTCATTCTGCTTGACACTTTGTTCTTAAGTATACTTTATATCCCTCTGGAAAGCTGTGAAACAATTACCAGTCGGCCTGGCTCTAAGAATGAGTGCTAAATGAGGACTACTGCAGCATTATATGTTAGGGATTTTCTGAATGAGTTGAGGTAATACATAAAAACATACGTTTGTTACTGTAATCCCTCAATCTAACATTAAATGAACTCAATGAACATTAAATGAACGATGTATTGAAAGAAAAAGCACCCAGCTGTAAGGAATTTACTGAATGCACTAACAGCTCCCACAGTTTTTACAAATATAGATAAACAGCTAAGAGGATGCATACATGCTGGTTCTCTTTTGAAATAATAGCTAAAAGGTTGGGGTTTGAAAATGAACTACCCTTTAAATAGCTGAAGGGGAAGGAGCCAAAGAACCCTGGAATGAGTTTACATGACTACCTTGTAGTGGAGAATCTACTTGCTGGTGAGATCCAGGTTCCATAAAATTTATGTCAGCTTAAGTCGTATTTTATGACTCGTTTTGAATACAGATAGTTTCAGGGCTTTTATAAGCATATGACTTTAAAGTTTTGCACTTCCTTAATTGTGATTTTTTTGTCATTGTTGTTGGACCATAAAATTATATTTTTGCCCATGAAGCCTCTCTAATACTAGAAATCCACAAGGAGCTGTTATTCAGTGTATTAATATTTTATATTCCAAGGCTTTATTTTTATAAATAATCTTTTAAAATTTATAAATATGAAAAAGGAAGATGCTAGGAATTTATGAAAAAAATTTCACACAGTGCTTCCAGGTGAACAAAAGAATTATCATATATTTTCATATGAATATGTTTTCAATAATGATCAAATATGTTTAAAATGTTGTTGTGACCAAAGTATATTTATGTACCCTGCACAGGTATATTTGCTTAGATTGATTCATAATTTTAATAATTATTTTGATTTTTGATTTTTTATTATTTTTTTTTTTTGCGGTACGCGGGCCTCTCACTGTTGTGGCCTCTCCCGTTGCGGAGCACAGGCTCCGGACGCGCAGGCTCAGCGGCCATGGCTCACTGGCCCAGCCGCTCCGCGGCATGTGGGATCTTCCCGGACCGGGGCACAAACCTGTGTCCCCTGCATCGGCAGGCGAACCCTCAACTGCTGCGCCACCAGGGGAGCCCTATTTTGATTTTTAAATGTTTGTTTTGTTCATAAAGGTCATATAACATATGATAGAAATTTGGAAAAGAGAGGGAAAGAATTCACCAGAATCCTGCCACTCCAATACACTCACTGTTAACATATTAGTGTCTCCTCGGTCTCTCCCCTATTTAAGTAGCTTTAAAAAATATAGAATCGTAGTATGGGGATAATTTGATATGCTTTGTTTTTCCATTTAACATGTCAAACCTTTCTTATGTTACTAAATACTTTTCGTAACATTTACTAAGTAAGTAATATTTGCTTAAATATCCTTCTGCTGTTAGTTACCAAAGCTGGCTTTGTTGGTGTTTGGGGTTTTTTAAAAAATATCTATATATTATAAATAGTGTATTGATATTCATCTTGAATATGTATTTTTCCATATTTTGGACCCTTAAAAGCATATATTCCTGAAGACAGAATTACTAGGTTAAAGGATATCAGTGTTTTCAGTATTTGGTACATAGTGCCAATTTGCTTTCTAAAAAGACTGAAACAATTTATAATTCCACCAGAAAAACCTGAGAACCTATTTCTGTATGATCATTTCTTATTAGCAGTTCAAGTATTTTTAAATGCATATTTAATACTTTAAAAATATTTTGTTCTTATATTTTGAATTGTCTTGTTTGCTTTTAGATTGAGTACGAATTCATGTATTTGTGAGTTTGAAATGCCCCTTTTTGAATTATCTGTTCATATCCTTTGCCCACTTGTTTAGGTCAGGTTGGGGATATTTTTTATTATCAAACTATATGAGCTCTCTATTTTCTATTTAAAAATATTAATTCCTTTTCTGACATATTTTTTCCTATCTTTTATTACTTTCTTTTATATCAGTGATAATTTTTTTAAACTTAATTGGTTTATGTGTGTGCATTTTTTTAATTTTTAAAAATTTGTGTTTGACCAAATATATCATTCTTTTTATTTTTGGAAAGAAAGAACACATAAACACATACACATATATGATATGTGAATATATTTATATTTATATATCTTTTATAAATATTTTACTACTAAGCCTAAAAAGTTATCTATCATCCAGAAGCTTGATAAATGGTCTATTTTCTTTCTTTCTTTTTAGTATTTAATTTCTAAATATTTTAACTCTTTGATCTACCCATTACTTATTTTGATGTTTATTATGCATTGGATACATACACTAATTTTTTCCAAATTAATAGCATCTAATCTAAATGTGTCCCCCTACCCATTGATTTGTAATTTTTCTCTAAACATATGTTAAATTAATATATATAAGAGCTCTTTTCTGAGCTCCCTAATCTTGTAGCTGCTAATTTTTTTAAAAAACTTCTGTGCTTGTACTGGTGAGTGTTAAATGATTATGCTTTTGTAAAATTTTCCCATCCATACAAGGTTTGATAATCAATTCATTATTTCAGTTAGTATTCCAAATAAACCAACTTTTCTTTCATTAGCTTATAATTATTATTTATCCTGTAATGAGTTTTTATCTTTATCTCAAGTGGAAAGATCAGTTTAATAGATGGTATAATATTATGAAGAGATTTGACTTATGCTGAGAAATCAAAATTATTATTTATAATTGAATTTTGGCAGATAATCAGAATGAGTATTAAAACATTTTTTCTCCCATATACAATCAAGATACTTATTCATAAGTGTGTGTTTTTTAATACTAGTGTAAAAATATATAAGCATTTATGGAAGTCATTTATTTATAGGACATTTTTATGAAAAATTAATAGTAGCATAGTAAGATCAACTTTTCTTAGCCATTTTTTTTGAGTCTCATTGCTTCCTTAATTCATAGTATTCTTCAGTCACTTGTGAGACACCAATTTTTATCTTAAAAATGTGTCTTCTATTTTGTATAAATTCTTAACCTACCAGAAATATATGCTAATTTTAAAATGTCTCTCTGGAAAATAGTTACCACAAGACTAAATCTAGTTCATGATAATTTTAAATTAAATTTAAAGCAAATAGCAGATTTAAATTTTGTTGGAGGTATTAGAATATTTGTTCAGTTTTATGCAAAAATTCATTTGAGACTTGTGTCTTATAGCACAGATTAGATACTAAACTCTGAGTTAATAAGAAAAAAAATTGTCAAAGAAAGTGAAAAGTGAGATGCACACCTAAAAATGAACAAACATGAGATTATACAATACAAAACAAATAAGTAAGCAGTTGTAAGCAATTTCATTTGTATACTTTAGATTTAAATTGTTCATAAAAAATTTTGGAAACAATATTAAGTGCAAATTTTTTTTAATATATATTATCATTTGAAAGCCTGAAATACTTAAACTATTCCAAAGTATACATTGATAGTTCTTTAAATGGTACAGTAATACCCCACTAAACTAAATT